GGCGCAGAAGGATCGACACATGAAAGTACGCATCCTTCAGGTCGATCGCTGCAAAACAACCTCGGGGACGGATGCAGCCGAAGATGCATTTTTGCATCAACATCTTGAACGGTAACCGGTGAAGGGCCCGGTTCAAGACACGCAGATCCAAGATTGGTCGTAACCCACTGCCTTTCTTGGGTACAATGAAGTAAGGGCTGTAAAACCCTGTATTCATATCGGCTGGAGGGAGTGCCTTCACCATCCCCCAAAGAGCAGCTTCCTCCCTCTCTGGGTCGCCCGTCCCGGGGCCTCTTGCTCTTTCGCTCACCGACAGGATTGACAGAGGTCTGGACGGGTGGGGCAGCCTGCCTACGCCCAGCTCCATGGCGCCGCTTGCTGGATGTAGCTGTGGATGCGGCGCGGGAGCAGGGGCAGACGCAGAGGCCCGCCCTCGATGATGAATAGGCTGGGGTGCTGCGGCCGGCGGATGGATGGAGGCAGCAGCTGCCCGCCGGGGCAGGGTGTGACGAACCGCCTCAGTCTGCTTCTGTGCAGCCGAGAGCTGCTGGGCCAAGCTCTCGACCGCGTCGCCAAAGAGGCTGGTCTGGGACACAGGGTCATTAAGGAACCGAACTTTATCAGCTTCCCTCATATCAACCAGACACAGCCAGAGATGGCGCTCCTGGACCACAAGTGTAGACATGGCACGACCCAGAGAACTCGCAGTGACCTTCGCCGCTCGGAGCGCGAGGTCAGTAGCGGTTCGGAGCTCTTTCAGAACTTCCGGATCATGACCACCCTCATGCAGGTCCCTCAGTGCCTTGGCCTGATGAATCTGCAGTAACGCCGTAGCCTGTAGGGCGGAGGCAGCTTCTCCACAGACCGTATAAGCATCGCCGGACAGGCCAGACGAGTACCTACAGACCCGGGAGAGGAGGCACGGTTCACCCTGCCGGGTGGAGGCGGTATTAGGACACAACTGCATCGCAACCGACTGCTCCACCGGGGGGACCCCGTATACCCCCTAGCTGCACCACCGTCGAGGGTGGTGAGGGAGGAGGAACCAGCAGGTCGTTTTCCGGCAGTAAAAGGTGCCGTCCATGACCTGGTGAGCTACTCATGCACCTCCGGGAAGATTGAAGCGGGGAGCTGAGAACCAGCGCGAGCCACCCGCGAGCAGAACGATGTTGTCGCATATATATATATATGCTTGTAGATCAATCTTGGATTCAAGTGCATCTACAGGATAATATTTATATAATTCTGAACACTGGACAATCTTATGTATTATAATTTTATTTGTAAGATGAAAAAAAAAAACCTTACAAACAAAATCAACATTTGTAAAAAACACCTAGACGTTATTCTTTTTTTTTTTTTACTGAACGTTATAAATCAAATCCAAACACATACTACACATCTTACCAAATCAGCATCATCATGGTAATAATAACTGCAGCTCCACAAAGCACTCCAATGGATATGTACAATATCACCAGACATCCTCCAACTGAGACAAAATAATACAATGTCAGAAAAAAAGAGCATTATTATTACCAAACTTGTTGCAACAAAGATAATGACATTTTTTTTTCTTCTTTTTTTCTTGCTACTAGTATTTACTAGAAAATTATAATAGACATGCTGTATTGTTCTATACACTCACACATGATGTTTAAAGTCACAGCAGCAGAGTATTTCTCTCCATATTTATTTCTGGACTTGCACTTGTATTCTCCTCTGTGATCAGAGCTGATCTTTGAGATGCTGTATATTCTTCCAGATCCTACAAATGTTCCTCCTTTATACCAGCTGAAGTTCAGAGCAGGAGGGATTGAATCACTGCTGCAGATCAGAGTCACTGAATCACCCTCCACTATTTCATAACATGGACTCACTGCTACAAATGTGTGCTGTGGAGGATCTAGAATTAAATTGATGCTATTTTTAGTTAATCTTTTGAAATGTAAAACATGTTGTACTTCAGCAGAGACAGTATTAGAAACCATGTCATCACACAGTCTGAATCTGAGTTTATACTGTATGTGATGGAAGTAAGGAGAGCAATGGAATCGGGAAAAGTGTATTCAGACTTGGGACAGTCATGCAAAAAAGCAAAATAGCCAGGCTGTGTAAGTGTTGCAGAGGCATTTACTTATTGTAAATAGACTCTTTATTGATTAAAAATGAATTTAAAAAAATGACTGAACTCATACTCACACATAACTCTAAGATAAGCAGAGGATGATGTGTAACTGTGTCCATGTAGAGCACAGCTGTATCTGCCTGCATCCTCTCTTCTGACTGACTGCAGCAGGAGTTGATTGTTTCCGTCTCTTCTCTCAGTTAATGGCTGTGAGTTTCTGTACCAGATGAATGTTGCTCTGTCAGTCAGAGTGCAGCTGCTTTTACATGTCAGACGGACATTATGACCCTCTGTCACTCTCTCAGGAGCCTCCACCTGAAGATCTGAACACAACACACACATTATATCTAGTGCTGCTGTCATACACTGATTATTATTCAACATAATGCACAGAAGAAGAGCTCAGTCACCTGTGACAGTAAGAGTCACTCCTGGATAACCAGTCCATTTCTTGCTGCATTTGTTAGTGTTGAATCTGAAATAGTACGTGTGTGAATCTTTCTGTGTCACATGACTCAGTCTGATGGTGCAGTTCTGCTGTTTGTCTCCCAGATACTGAAGCCTCTGACTGTATTCAGGATCCTCAGACAGATCTGGAGGATTTACATCTTGTTTGGGGCCTTTGGTCCAGAATGCTTTCATGATCTGATGTCCAGTAGGGTATGTATAAGTGCAGCTCATTATCACCGATGAGTTCTTTAGTGCACAGATGTCTGAATGACTGTAACTCACACCCCAACCAGCACTAGAAACCCCTGAAACACAGAATTCATATTGAACAAATTTGCAGCAGCTTGTGCATCAAGGGTGCTGGAAAAAAGCTGTAGGCAAAATCTCTTGAAATGTGCAAGTGACTCACAGTGAATAATGAGCAGAAAGATCAGAGGAAGAGGAGGAGCCATTCTGACTGACAGCTACAACAAATGTACAGTAGTTCATTTGTATTATACTGAAGTTTGTTTTAATCTCTTGTTGTAATTTTATAAGACAATACCTAGTAAACCTAAATAATTGTACTTTCTTATTTCTCCTGTAAATGTAATATTCTTACTGCCTTCAGTTTATCTCTGTTGCAGTGGTGTGCACATTAAACATCATGGTACTGTTACTAATCCTGCCAAAAATGTATAGTCACTGTACTATCTGCCAAACCAACTGGGCATCTTCCTGGAAAATCTTGACATGCTGCTGCCACTCTCCCTTCATGCTCACCACTGAGACTCTCCTCTGGTTCACTGCAACCTCCACTCTCTCTCCCCTATACCCTTCCCCTCTGTGTCAACTGCATCCCTCCCTGTCATTAGAACCTCTTATTTTCTCTTGATGTCAGTGAAGTACTGCCACTCTCTTCTCCACCTTAATATCCTGCCACTTCCAGACCAGCACATGCAACAACCTCCAGCCCATTGCTTACAGATGTTCTCCAGTGCTGGGTAGATTACTTAAAAATTGTAGTCTGTTACTGATTACAAATTACATGACAAAAATTTGAGTTAGTAACATAATCTGGATTACACATATCAGTTAATGTAGTCTGACTACTTTCTGATTAGTTTTTATTTATGTGACCTGTCAATGCGAAAAAACTAGGGATGCACCAAAATGAAAATTCTGGGCCGAAATCGAAAATTCTGGTTCCACTTGCCCGAAAACCGAAACCGAAAATGCTTTGTAATAATTATTTATTATTTTATTAAACAATATAAAGTAATTTTGTAAGACTTTTTAATATAACTAAATATTTTTAAGGATACTGAATTAAATAAAAAACAAAAAAAACGCAGGCCAATAAAATAATCACACTTTTATTGAAAGTAACACAATAAAATGCAGTTTCTATTGCATAGAATAGTGTTTCTATTGCAGTGTTGAGAAATAGTCATTTTTCGAATTGCCTGAAAACCCAACCCCCTTTCTAATATTTCTGTTTCCAAGAACTCTTACTACCAAATAAACAAAAACCATTAACACCTCAGACACCCAGAACTTACAACTTTATCTTCTCTATTCTATCCTCCCTCTTCACACTTCTTCTCTGACTGCTGATGTCAGAGTGTAATGTGTCCTCCACCCACACACATTACACTCTTCTCTTACGTCTCTCTCCACATGAAGAACAAGGTCTCCAAAGTTCTCTGTGCCAACCGTCCTACAACCAGTCCATTAGACCTGATCCCCTATCACCTACTTGGGTAACTCCACAGAACACCAAAACCAACACTCAGTCCTACAGCAGAGGAAAACTCTCTTCTTCCTTTTCTGTCAAAGAAAAAAAACCTTGACAAAGTTTTGTTCAATCAGCTGACTGCTTTTCTCTCACAGAACGACCTACTTGACCAGTCTGGCTTCAAAAGCAGACTCCCTGCAAAGTTATTGGTTCTCTTCTCCACTTACACTGGGCACAACCATAAAGGTACATGGCTTCACATACTAGACACTACACCGCTCTAGCTGTCGTTTCAACCTAATGTCTCAGCTCTGTCTGCCTTTCAGACATCTCGCCTTCAATGAGGGAGCTTGATCTCCAACTCAGCTTTGAAAGCCATTGTGACTAGCCTTCTGCAAATGATCCAGAACATGGCAGCAGGCCTGATCATCAACCAACCTAATGCCGAGTTCACACTGCACGATTTTAGCCCGATTTTTCACTCGCTGACAGGTTTTGCGAAATCGCCGACAAATGCCCGACATCGGAGGCAAATCGGTGCTCGTTCACGCGAGTGACAATCACGCAGTGTGAATTCTCAAAGACGCGATCTGAGGGAATCACCGACGGACGAGTTTAAAAATCGTGCAGTGTGAACTCGGCATAAGAGAACCTATGTCACGCCCCTCCCAATCTCATCCTACCGAGTCCCAGCTGCGGCCAGAATCATATTTAAGATTTTGATGCTGACTTTTAGGGCTGCCACTGGAAGTGCACCTCTCTACCTCAATTACAAGTGTATGCTAACTCCTGCCAGCTATTTCTGCCAAACGAGTGACGTCTTGAAATATTTTTTATCATGCTTGGCTTTCCTAAATACCACATTTAATTTTAAACGCTGCTTTATGCTCTCCTGGGTTGACCAGTATTGTGTTTCTGGTGAAACCATGGTAGTGTTTTTGGTTAAAGGTGCACTAAACGAATTTTGACAAACAATGTTGATATTTGAAAGAACCAAAACAAACACGCCCATACCCCAACAGGACCTCGCCCCTATTTTGATAACTCCGCTCCACACATACGTTCACAACACTGGCAGTGACGATGATGGATCTGCTATGCCTGCCGGCCGAGGATATGATGTCATCAATAAGTGAAAGCGATGTGTGTTGCTATGGCAATTCAACATAAAAATCAATGTAACTCCTATCAAGAAGAAACAAAGCAACCTCGGCATCCGATTCCAGTCCTTCCCACTCCTCGAGTTCTCTCCACCGCTGGAAAGCTGCTCCAATATTTACGCGGGTCCTACCTCTTACCAGATTGTAACCCTTCTTTTTAATGTTTTGTTCCTTTGCTGATTGGCAGCGAGTGTGTTTTTGGACTCGGTCCGACACTGTGGCCAAAAGTGTTTTTTCAAATTTTGCTTAGTGCACCTTTCAGCAAAAGAAAAAGCCCGGTGGTAACACTAACAACCAAAACACAACATATGCTGGTCTCTGCAACTAGTTTATATCTATTAAAAACTACATGTAATCACCAGATAAAGATTTTAAAAGTTTTAATGATAACTATATTTACTCACTGAGCTGATAAAATCATGAAAAGATTTAAATCAATTTCACTTCTCAAAAAGCAGAAAAATATAGTTTTACTACAAATACCATGGTTAAACTACGGTTAGTGTAGCAAAGTCAAGGTTAATTTGTGGTTACCATGATTTAACTTCAGTAACCATGGTTTTTTGGTTTTCACACTAAATAACTTGTGTTTAACACGTTTTAAAAATGAAGATGTGACACTTCACAGCATAGCAGAATGGTTTTAACAAGGAAACAGGGCAACATTACATGCGCAGCATTAGACCAAAAAGTAAAAGTTCTACTGAAAGCAACTTTACATCAGTGCGCAGAGATGCTTATTATGTTTTCAAATCTGATGCATATTTAGTCTGTTCCTGAGGAAACAAGCAAATGATTAATTATGCATTTGATATACCTTGTCTAATTAATAGGAATTTGGTAATAAAATGAAGAATAAAAACTTATCAGTAATTAATAGACTAATACAATTCAGAAGCTGCTTTCATGTCAAACGGTTTTTATCATATGAGATCTTCTAAGCTTTTTACTCTGACTGTGGAAGAG